TCATCACAATCAGGGCTAACTCCCACAAAAAAAGAAAAAAAAAAAATCAATCAAGGCTAGTCAGCTATATTAAAAAGGGCCTATATTCTATATTTTTCACTTTTCTACTTTGATATTTATGTGTTTTTGTACCCAAAACAGTCGCAATTCATCTTCACATAATCATTTTCCAAGCTCTCTTTATCCCTTAGAGAGTTAAACAGGCTGTTTGTTACTGTACTTTTCAGACATCAGATATGTAAATGACCCCTGTTCTGATCGACTGCCCTGTACTCAGATGTAGGGCTGAATGATTTTGGGAAAATCTCATTGTGTTTTTTTCTCACCAATACCGTGACTGCAATTTAAACTGCAATTGTTTTCTATACATTTTGTGCCAGGCGTGTTATTTTGGCCAGTAGGCTTGAGTTCTGAACACTATAGTGTGCCAAACTGCCAGTTCGCTGTTTTTATGTTGTTATGAACACATCACATGGGTGTTTGGTTGCTCCTGATTGGTCCAACTCATCTATAGGTGGTTCACAGTTCATTTCAGCTCATTCAGAGCAGAATACAAAACTATACATGCTTATTATTGATTTGATTTACTGATTAGAGAAACGATGAACAGCGACTGACGTGGCTTATATCCCTGTTCATGTTTTTTTCTTCAAAGAGTAGTTTGCGACACAACCCGAATAAAAATCTACATCTTTCCACCTTCATTCTATCATGTCCTTTACATGGGAAATAAACAGAACAGCATTGAGAAATCATGACAGTCAGGACAAGAGCAAAGAAAACAGCAGAAATAATCACTCTTTAGCATCAGCATTAAAGGGTTGAAGTTGTTAAGGCAACACTGTTGATAATGCAGGCTACAGTTAAAAAAAGCTTATGGGATTTGAAAATTGCACTCTTTCAAATTGTGATTTAAAACGATTTTTCAGCCCTATTCAAATGTGCCTCATTCAAAATGAGTTCATGCTGAAACATTCCTAATAACTTCAGCATGAATGGGTGGATATATGTAAATGTATTTGAGTTTAGTGACATCACAAACCCTAAAATCAAAACAGGCCGTTTTTGCAGCTTAGTTTCCATATATGGACTGTATAGACCCTTTAAACAACGCACTTTAAAGCCTGCCATAATCCAAGTGCTTCTCCACAGTAACAAAGCGGCCTCCGAGTCATCTTGTTTCCGCAGTAACCCCGCCGCTCCTTCCCCTGCCTCGTCTCTTCATTAAGGCTTCTTTCAGCGCTCCCCACATGTGGCAGATTATCTAATGACGTGCCGCTGAGATCTCATTTCCACCAGGGACTTTGGCATGGCACACAACATTTCTTCACCAGCCTCAGGTATGCTTCAGAGACACCCTCATTTTGTGAAGGATGATTTAGCCGTCTAGTGACAACCTTGGCATGCCGACACTCAAGGAAAAAAAGTGCACTCCGAATGTTGCCTTGTTTTGATTAGAGATTCTTTGGTTCAGTCCCAGAGCTTAATAACGTTAGAAAAACATATTTCCATTTCATACACAACCGCTGACCACAGCCCTCTTAACTGCAGTCTTCTGAAGGCCTACTGCTTGGAAATCAAGATATGCCTTTCATCATCCTGACATCTCTTTCCAGGGACAGCGTCAGGAGCTTTATTAGCACCACAGCGTGCGCTGATCAATGCACGCTACTGTAAGACTCCAGCCAGGATCTCTTATACTCACAAACATGAGCTAGGAGTGTGAAAAAGCATCATTTGATTCAACTACACTTATTCTGGTAAATTCATTTGCAATAATTTACACTCATTCAATAAAGGGTTACATTTTAGTCTGTGAGTCCACTGCACATGCTCCATTTATGGTCACCTTGTATTTAAGTAACTGTCAACTAAATACAGTTGTATGCAAAAGGTTAAACACCTCCAGTCAAATGACGTTTTGTTGATTTTCTAAGTGAAAATAAGTTAACATCCTCTACAGAGAACAAAATTAAATATGGCAATATTTGTGCAAATTTTAGTGCACAGTGGCATTATGTGCTGTGCTTAACAGATTGGAAAAAATATTAAACATTAAATGTGCCAGGTTTTATTTTTTTCCAAATTATAGTGAATTCAGCAAATAAACAGTGACTGTGCATTAAAATGTGCAGAAGCTTATTTTCACTCAATCAACAAAAGATGTAATTTGACCAGGGGCGCCCAAACTTTTGCATATGATCATATCTATTAAATGCTAGCAAGTGGAGCAGCAATATATCTAAAAATAATTGCAAGTACATTCAAATATATCTTATGCACTTAGTTTTTTTTTTTTTAAACCCTCAATCTGAAACCAATCTTGATGTTGTAGACAATTAACCGAGTTTCACCAGATAGTTTATTGTTAATTTGAGCGTCTGTAGATAATCAAGGAACTCCTAAAAGTAAAAGTGAAAGTGACCTATTAAAGTATGTGTTCATGTTTTTTTTGTTTTTTTTTTTGGCAAAACTAAATTACAGGGCAGGTTTTTAAAACATAAACAACAAAAAAGGTCATTAGCCTACATTGTAAATAGTTCCATTTTTTAATCATCTAAACCTTAAGTAATAAATAAAAACTGAGATTTTGTGATGCACTGAATAATTTCCTAAAGAACCATAATCAAACACAATCAGTGAGGTCAGAGATTTACACCAACAACTAATACACCCTCACACACACCCCCACACCAAGCAGGGTGAAAGTCATCCTGTGCAGCCAGCTCACATCATTCTCACTGCACTGCCTTATTTGTCATCAGCTTGTAATTACCTTAAAATAGAGAACAAAGGCATATTTAATGCCCATCTTGCTCTGCTCATTTCCACTGACCCGGATACTCTCATGGGCGGCTCAGTACTGTACTTTGATATATAATCCCTTAATGTGGACTTCATAAACCTCACCCATGCATATTATTTCATATTATGAAGGCAGGCAGACATTCTATCGATGAGGCCATTCCCATGGCTAAATTACTATATCCAAAAGGTCTTAAAGGATCAACTGCCCTCTCCATGGCTTTCGACTGCAAAGCCTCCACCACGGCCTGGGGCATCCGGCGCTTTGAAGATTTCCCCCCTGCCCTGGTTAACACTGGATTAACAGAGTGAACTCTGGCTAACTTTTCAGCCATGTCCAGTTCTTCTCCGTTTGCTTCAGTTCACAGCTGAGCAGCAGCAGCAGCAGCAAGGATGTGGATTGTTCAGGCAGATGGCGTAAAACATGAACCAACTGCATTTTTTTATGCTTAACTCCATCATTCCAAAAACGGTGTGACAACTTACTTCTTCATAAATCAGGCCCAAGTGGCTGTCTTTGTTAGCTCTGCCTTGGGCCAGCCAGACCTTGGTTTTCTACACCAGTGGGGGGTTTTCATATGTACTGTAAATATCCCCCAGATGTGTTCCTTCCAGGCCCCAGCAGATCTGTTATTAAACTCCTAAACTAATTTGATCATTGCGTTAGCGAGGAGGACCCACTCGGAAGCATGGTTTGAGAGAACTCCACAGTGGGAACCCCAACATCAATCACTTTGACTAGCTGTTATTGTTCAAATTCGCCTTGCTGAATTAGCAGTGAGCTTTGGGAAATTGGAATGTCATGGTCGTGCACTCACAGCACCACACTCATGGGCGCAAGCGCTATTTGACAACAGCTGAGACAAGAAACCAGGTCTTAATTTCAATGTTCAAGCCTTAAAGTCTGCGAGACTGTAGACTTTGGTCACCCCAGATGACCAGGAACAGGTCCAAAATACATAAAAGGAAAGACATTCCATTAAAGATGGGAGGGCTTACTGTAAAACGAAATTAACATTCTCAAAAATACACCCCTCCTTTTAACAAAAGCCCCTCTTTGTTTGGCTTGAAGACTATTGCCTGTGGGTTCAAGGCCTGCTATTAGCAAGACAACCAATTAGCATGTCAATGGGCCTGCTTGAATATCCCTACACCTTTCTGATGGGGGGTGAACAGTGGGCAGCAAGAGAGTTAAACCTCCTGTGGTCAGCCACAAAGTCACCCCCCATGGCCCTTTAACTCAAAGCAATGGTCTGGCAGCGGCCCGTTCAGGGCTGAGACGTTCACACATCTATGTGCTGATAAAACCGCCACCACAACAACAGCAGCAGCTTCAGAACGCGCCCAAACGCTGAATGACTCCGTGGAAACACTGAGGCGGTTTGTTTTGAGGCTCAGTGTCAGACTGAACACGTTAAGGCTTTGTTTGCCAGGTGAGCCGTTTCACTGCGCCGTGATAAAAAGCTTTCAGGTGCTGCTCCGCAGGAGAGGGTGATGAAAGGCTTAGCAGAGAAGCTCCATGGCTTCGTCTGTACCCCCAACACCCCCCTCCTTTACCTCATACCAAATGGCAGAACCCAAACTCCAGCAGGAAACCTCTCCATGGGGAGGTAAGTGAATTAGCCCAACAAAGGCGAGAGATCACTTTCAAATACGAGCCTGATTAACTTCTGCTCTTCAAGCGTCCTGAAGAAAACTAGACTGATCCCTTAAGAACAGGAGTGACATCAGACTACGGTGGATATTAGCCAATATACATTATTACAGAGCCCATGGTTAAAAAGTACACATCGCATTCCCTCGCAAATGCAGTGGATTTTGCAAGAGAAAGCAAAACTTTTGCAAGTGAATTCAGAACTATTGCGAGGGAACACAAACATTTTGCAAGGAAATGTAACACTACTGCAAGGGATTGCAAAACATTTGAGAGTTCATTTAAAACTATCGCAAGAGATTGCAAAACTTTTGCGAGGGAAGGCAATGTCGTTGCAAATTTGTTTTATTTCGCAAAGGCAAACAGTCCTCACTTCTGTCTCCATCACAAACACAAGAACAAAGTATCAATGCGCTCTGGTTCTCCATCCACTCTTCTCTTTAAAGTGTGTGGTTACACTTTTCCCCAGTTCTCCATCAGCGTTCCTCCCAGTGTGTGTGCTGTGCTGTGTGGTGTTAAGTCTGCAAGCTTGAGCACTTACCTGAACCCGAAATGTCCAAGACGCACAAAGCCAGAATGAAAGTGTGGAAGGAATGAATTAAAACTCCACGCGTAATCCTTTCTGTACGCATCCTCGCGCAGTGCTGCTGGTGCTGGGCAGTGAAAACTATGGACAGAGCATCCGAGATTCACACAGGTACTGTGGGCTTCTCTGAGGCAGAAACCCCTGCGAGAGTGACTCAAACCAGTCTGTGAGAGGAAGCAGTCCCGGCTGTAGCGGCGCTCTCAGGTGTGCAGTGAGTGGAGCTCTGCGTGGCGGCTGATTTCCAGAACAACGGCGCGTTTCATTACGCACGACCTGAAGATGATCGCACAGCTTCTCCGCTCCTCGGTGCTCCCGAAGTGTCCTGCTGGAAAAGTGAACAGAGAGCAGCTCATGACGTGGGATGGATCTCTTCCCGAGGGAGGGAAAGCGGGAGAAACTGGGAAATTTCATAGGCTGGAGGAAATGCGCCATCTAGCGGCGGCCTGCTATATAAACTGTGAGCTGTGAACACTGAGCCGAACATCAAAACCGCTTTAGCTGTTTCTAAACAAGAAGTGTAATTGTATCTGTGTTTACTACATATAAACAGTGTTCTCTCGCAAATGAGAGAGAGAAGGGAACCATTGCACTTCCTTTCTGTCTAAGTTAAAGAGGAATTTCAATGAGTTTTCACAATGTCAGCACAAGATGTAAACACAGTCGTTCAGAGTGGATTGGTGTGAAATGCCTCGTTCGAGAGAAACTTGCCAATTCAGAATTGTTCACAATGGTGGCGATAGGAACCAGACGTCCACCTATAAAGGCTCCCTTACAGAAAGTAATTACTCGAAATGGTTCTAAACGCGTTGCCTGAGACATTGTTTTATGATAGATTTGAAATAAGGCTTTTGCTTTAAACATATTTTTAAGATGGTGGAGAGGTACATGCAAGGTGCTGTAAGGCAAAATAGTCCCTCCAATTTCTGATTTGCCACTATTTTACCATATACAATGATAATAGTGATATATTAGTCATATACACCGATCAGGCATAACATTATGACCACCTCCTTGTTTCTATGCTCATTGTCCATTTTATCAGCTGCACTCACTATATAGGTGCACTTTGTAGTTCTACACTTACAGACTGTAGTCCATCTGTTTCTCTGCATACTTTGTTAGCCCCCTTTTACCCTGTTCTTCAGTGGTCAGGACCCCCATGGACATTCACAGAGCAGGTACTATTTGGGTGGCGGATCATTCAGCACTGCAGTTACACTGACGTGGTGGTGTTTTAGTGTGTGTTGTACTGGTATGAGTGAATCAGACACAGCAATAATATACTATACTATATATATATATATATATGTGTGTACAGCAATACTATACTATACTATACTGGTGCTGGTTTAGCTCAATTAGCATGGTCATGCTGGTTGCCCAGCATACAATCATCACAACACTGTTGGTTATGCTAGTGTCCATGTTTTGTTTTTTTTATTTTTTTTTTGGTGGTGGTGTTGTTTTTGCAGGGTTGTGGACATCATGATCCCTGGTTTTTATCACCACCACTTTAAAGAAAGAGGTCAGTAAGATTCTCTGCAATTAACTAATTGACATCAAACCACTCAAAAACATTATAACTCTACATGGTTGACATATAAAATTGCAAACTGGACACAATACCCCTTTGACAGTTTATTAAAGTTTATTAAAGGAAACCCCCACACAGTAAGCAGTTAGCAGCAGTTTAAGGCAGATCATACACAGTGCGTCTACATCAGGCATGATCTTTGGAGACATAAGCATATGATTGGACCAAAACGTTTATTTTGCATTAAAGCTCTAATTTCTTTTATTCTCATTAGCTGCAGAAGAGGAAATGCTTATGGTTCAAGTTGTGTCTTGACAAAATAAACCGTCCACATAAAAAAAAAAAAAACATAGAATAAGAAAGCATAGAGAATATTCTGATTTGTTTGGAATAATGTAATAAACCAATATAAAAGGAAACAAAGTACATCCTCATTGATAAGTGCAGTCATGCCATCAGGATAAACTGATAAAATCATGCAACATATCAGAAACGAAAGAGAATCAATCACATAAAAATAATTTAATAATTTCTCATGGCTTAAAAAATGTTCCCTTAAAATACGGAAGATACAAGAACCTCACAAATGTGTATTTCTTAAAACAGACATTTTTGGGGTCCTTGAAATGGCTTTTGTGGGAGTAAATCTTGCTGATATTGAGAGACGAACATAACACAAACACAGTGTCTATAAAAGTAACCATATATATAAAAAAACTTTTCTGCTTAGCATTTACATTTGTTTTCATATTTATTATACTTCAGTAAAAACGTTACTCAAGGCTTTATAGGGAACATAAACAGGTCTGTTGAATCCAACCTACTACAACATGAAACATTTTACATTCATTTCAATGTGAAATTGAGACTCACAAAGATCAGCATTTTAGAAATAATCTATGTAGTGAAACATGAACAGGTGCAATTATTATGTGGATGCATTTCTGACAACATATGGTGAGGACCCCAGTGCTAATGGCTGTGCCAACTTAACAGCTGTCCAGTGTTTTCTTCCTGCTACTGACAGTATAAAATGCTTCTGAAGCCTCAGAATGGGTGAACAGTCTGCAGCTGACTGACAGAGTTGGTGGTGTTGAAATCAACGTCTGTCACCACGCTGGAGGTATCTGCAGTCACTCAAGTACAGCAAGAGCAGCCTCTCGAATACAGGATGCTGCTTTCTCAATTTCCTCCTCGGTCTGCTCCACTGTTACTACGACTCTGATGCTGGAGATACAAAGAGAATTCATAAAGATATGTATCATTTCAGATACAAGAAAGGTAAAATAGTAAAAACCAGCAAAAGTCAAAAATAGAAACATTTATAAGCCAACAGACCTGAATCGTATAGTTTATTACTGTTGTCAGAAGAAAACCTTGCATCTCCAAAATGGCAACTTTATAGGAGAAGAAAAAACCTACTTTACTTTTAGTGTAAGTCAGTGGAATCAGACTTTTTCCAAGTAATGTGGGGTCATTTCTTTTTGTCCATTCATTATGAAATTTACATACAATGTAAAGGGCAACAGGTATTTTCGAATTATGTCAAAAACTGAAAAATGTCAAAAATGGAGATTTTTTTGGAGAGGTTTTCTTCCGATAACAGCGTTATGATATTTATGATTTTACAACTTAAATATATAGCATTTGTCGTAGAGGTAGGCAATATGGCAAAAGTGTAATCTCACAATACTTCAAGAAAATTTTCATGATACACAATGTCACGATATTTAATTTTTCAGACATTTGATCAGTTGGAACTGAGAAAAAAGAACCAGTAATGCTACATTAAAAACACAAAATCGAAAACTGTGAATGCAATGATTTTCATTCAGTATGTGGCATACTGTGTTGCACTAAATCCAGTTAAACAGGACCACTTTGCTCTCTGTAACGAAACATGCAGTTAGTCAGTGTTCTGCAAATACTGGCGATAATACACATTATGTTCAGAAAAGCATACTATAATGCACTGTGACAATTTATCAGCCTTACCTGGGTGGCGGAAGAAAGCGTTCCTCTTTGTCTAGATAGCGAGCCTGAGTGAGAGCTATCTGTCTGTCCAAACACTGCCAACAAACAGTGACACCGTAAATTATAAATCAATTAACACAATCTAACCAAAGCTTTACACAGGCTAGGCTAGGTCTGGACACTGAGGTGGTCAGTCCATTGTTCTGAGGACATCAGCAGCTTCTTTGTTTGATTTACAGACTTTATCTTTTTCTCAGAAAGGGCTTTTTTGACAGCTACACATCCTTTCAGACTCATAGTGTTGAGTGTGTCTTCTCACAGTGGAAGGATGGACAGAAACACCTGTATATGTTTTCAGACCTGTAAGAGTAGAGCTTGATTTTCTCCTCTCTCTCAAAGATGAAAGCTTTAAGTACTGCTTATCAGATGGTGACACTTTGGGTGGTCTACATGGCTGTTAGGAGTCCCATTTTCATTCTATCTTAAATGTTTTGAAACATGTCCTGAATGGGTGTTTTGGCTGGAAATTAAATAAATGAATGGTTTCTGATTCTTGTATAATACTGTATTTGTATGCACGGTATGTCTCAAAGCACTCCAGTCTGTATGCTTGTCCCATGTTATCTGGGCCTGTCTTACATAGTCGATGATGGATCGTAGTGTCCTGACGTCACTCTCTCTGGATCCTGTGCTGTGCTCTAGTTGGAGATGGAGTGCTGGAGCAAACGCCTCCCCGACTACCTTCAACCCTGGAATGCTAGAATGCACAACCCAACATCAACATAGGACCTCTCAATAAAAAAATTATAACACACTGTTACTAATGTGAACAGTATGAATAACTGCGATTAACAATTTGTCTTTTTTGAAAGCTAAAGTGTCCAAATAGGCTAATCAACAGTTTGCTTCCTACTGTTTCTCAGTAGCTTCCAAATGGCTATAGACACAATTTGAGCCCAGATGAACAAACCTCACTCACTGCTGCCCTATAAAGGTATTATAGTCAGATTTTGTAGATTTCATAAGACCCATGACAAGTTTTAGTAAATGCATTTTATGCTTTCTTTTATTTAGATAAATTTGCTTCAACCCAATAGATGAAAACACACCCAACTCACAGTTTGTTTGTTGCGACATAAACATATGATTGTGAAAGCTAACAACTGTGAAACATACTTGCGATCAGCTCTAATAACTGCAATCAGGCGATTACGCAATATTTGTAATAGGCCTTTACCTCAAATTTATGATTTAAGCCTGAGGTGTTGAGCCCCTCCCAATCACAAGCATATCAAATCAGTTTCTTTACTGAATAACACAATCAAATATACTTTGTTCCTCAACTAATTTTGTTTGCAGACCATGAGTCACTCAATTCTTTCCAGTAATAACAGACCTGTTTCCATAAGTTACATCACAGATTTTGGTATGGTAACATTATAGAATTGTTTTGATTTATAGAACTCTGGACAAGCGCACATTGCTCTTTTATGGGAAAAACATCAGAAAACGTTAATACAACTTACGCTTGCAATGCTTTGTGGACGTGTTTGCACTTTTCCCTCAGGATGGTGAAAATTTCTATACAAGAGAAAGAAAAGAAAAGAATTTAAGGTAAAACTCCCTTTTTAAGTTGTGTGACTGAATGCTAACGAGAGCCAAGGCCCAACCAGAAAAGCAGTAATGAGTTTAGCTTGGCCAACATAAGCCCAGCACACAATTAATACACACTGCTGAGATGTGACCCGGGCTGTGGACCCCTGGGCACCTACTGCTGAGAAAAATGTGCTAGAAAGCCCCTGCCAGGCT